TTTTCCATAAATGTGATTCCGAAGGTAAAATACATGCGCCGGCTCAGGGTGCCATTCTGCACCACAGACCGGAGAGGCCAGGAGACTTTGCGAATTTCCCTCTCAGCAGCACCCTGTTTGCTTTTGTTTGCTGGTTTCCCGACTATAAAGGGTCAAGCCCCAAGAGGGTTTCCTTGTTTGCCAAGGTCGCTGGGCCATGGGGCAATTTCTCAAACGACAAGTCGATGAGATGCTTCATTTGAGAAGCACTTCAAAACTAAATCATTTTGACCAGTAGTTGAATTGGATGTTAGTAGGCGGTTTGGCTCCTACCTGGTGTCATGGAGGTTGCAGCAAGGGCTGCATCAATAGCTTTGGGGCACCGATCATGTGAGTTTGTCTCCAGACTGAGCATGGTGCCGGTTCTCAACCCTTTAGAGATTATGGCCACCAGTGTAAGGGTTCCTTGTCAAGGAGCCATGACACTGGCTTACAAAAAAGAGACTGACCACGGCACAAATGCGACTTGGAACCCCTGACATGGTGTTTGTTTTTGTTGTCTCTCGACGCCAAGATCTGTGCCCTCAACAAAAGGGCAATTATTTGGAGAGGACTAAAGGAGAGAGCAATCGTTGAGTATTGATCTGACGTGTTCAACCCTTCAGGGTCGAATTGTTGCCAACTCAAGGATCGCTTTTGAACAAGTCCTTGCCAGAAACGGCAGCCTTTTGGGCCCCCGAAGATGTGCGAGAATATGGGTACGCTGATCTCATTTGGGGATGAAAACAAGCTCATTCACGTTGAAGATTCTTTACTTGGGGAAGTTGTTGTATCCGGTTTCGGAGTTAGGCATCTATCCCTGCTGATAGATGTCTCTTGGCAGCAGTTTGGAGCGTCGTCGCAAGGGCGACGTTGGAGCAAAGATTGCTGAAAGTCGAGGACAATTTGGGTAAGGCAGTTTGCGGATTTTGGCAGTTGCCAGCCTCGCTGAGTTGATCGCTGCCCAAAGCAAAAGTCACGTTCGCCATGGTAAAGTTAATCCTTTGTTGGAAGGGAACCCATCCATTTCGAGGACTGCCGCCTGGCTGTTCGGATCTTTGGGTGTCGTTTGGACCCATGTTCAGGCATTGCCCCATGAATTTTCACAGCTCCATGTTGGGAAGTTAAGGAACCAGCCACGGCAAATCAATCTCGGACACCAACAGTTCGTCCGAGTCTGGCACTGGCAATGGACATATATAAAATGGCTACTTAAATGACAGCGTATATATTTCGGATTGTTTTATTCTCAGGGTACCCAATGAATCTGTCAAGACAATTAGAGAGTTCCACGGTAAATAACTTTCACGGCAATTCCCGTTTCGCGGCAATTAGTGACTTCTTCATTGACTTGCAGAATTAACTTGTCACGACGGCAATTTTGGAAGTAGTTACTGCGAAACTACTGCACTGGAGCTAATTCCGCAGTAGTTTGGCAGTAGTTTGGAACTAACTGCTGCGAAACTATTGCGCTGGAGATAATTTCGCTGTAGTTTGGAAGTACTTACTGCGAAACTATTGCACCTTGGCAAACAGCCACGGCAACAGCCACGGCAATTTCCCCGCTAAAAAAAAACTTTTCGCGGCAACGGCAACGGCAACGGTATAAGAAACTGCCCACGGTAAGAATTAGCTTTCACGGTAAAAATTGTCTTGCCCCCGCTAATTGTTTTGACGGATTCACAGGGTACCATTTCTTGTATGTCAATGAGAAAGCAACAGCGCACCACCCTTGTAGGGGGTGCCCATCAGACAACCCGTTGCCAGCAATGCAAACCTGTTATGTCAGACTAGCACCTTGGAGCACCCGAGGTGGGTGCTTGCAGCCATTGAAAAAGGGCCCACTTTTGTCTGTTGAGTCAGGTCAGGAATCTGCACATGTTCAGCGGTTCAGCGGTTTGAAGAAACCGTTGGTCAGCCTCCAAAAGGGGTCCGAGCTGTCTTTTTTTTTAGTGTCTCACCCGTGGCCCCACCTGGGCTAAGCCAGCAACGCCCTTGCAGGCAATAGGCCCATATCCCGAAGGCAAACATTTATTTTTCATTAACAGAATCACAAGAATCTCCTCCGGTTTAGAGGGCCCTCCTGAATTTTAGAGGGCCCTCCTGAAATTACTTAAGGCAGTGTACTTGGCAAGTGTGTAAAAAAACCATGGTTACGACCCGCTGAATGGCATTCAGGGGATACTGGCTTACTAAGCACCCTGCCCTGTCGCATGCCGGGTTTTGGTCGAAGGCGGCAACGCTTCTTGAGCAAGCAGTGCCCGGCGGCGCAGCAACAATGCGCTGGAAGCGAATGCATGTGTACAATTTGTGACCAACCCCGTATGAAGTTCAGTCAAAATTAGCAGGTTTATTTGGGGGCAGACCCAGCAAAGTTTCCACGGGAGACTTACCAATTGTCCCCCGTCTTTGGGGAAACACGCCTTTTTTGACCATGGCTCCTCCATGGCTGGCCATTTATCACTTTCCAAAAACGTGCGAGATCTGGTCAAAGCATCATAGGGTTGCCAGTTTTGGGGCCAGTTGTTTCCTGCAAGTGGGTACCTGCCTGTTTGCTTTCCGTTCAAGCCGGGCTACCCCAAACACGGCTGGCCCAAGAGTTAGGTTGGGATCATGAAACTTCGGCTTGGCTTTGCTTCCTCTGGTTGGCGTGGGCAAACTTGCTATCTCCGCTCACGGCCCCGAACCCTTCCACTGTCCAACATGGAGCCCGGAGGGTTGCCTTATAGGGTGAATAGTTCTCCTTGAAATGAGCAGCAAATCCGCGGCTTGATTCTTTCTGGCGCAAGAGCTTCAGACGAAAGAGGCTCAGCATGAAGTCCTCAAATGCTGTTCGAAGCATATGCGGGATTCTTGGTTTGGGATTCAAGTATGTTGATTTTTGTGTGCAGATCTTGTTTTTTTCCGCAAAGCCTCGGACACAGGACAGAAACACTGATATCTTCGCATTCGACTTGGAGATTTAATATTTGCACAAGGCACCATGGACGCGGACTTTTACAAAGCACTTGTTGGGGCGCGCCCCTCGATGCTTCTGGCATTGACAATACACACGGAATTGTCCTGTTGAAGGGCATCACGTGAGAATCCGCCCAGAGCACGTTTCAGCAGAACTAACATTTGCATGACTTGGGTACATTTCAGGATACCCTTGAAACGACGAGACCATTCACAAAGTCTAGGGTTCCTGTTTGGAGACAAAGCCGCGTTGCTTTACTGGATATGGCCATTGCCATGGATGCCATGAACGCCATGGATGCCTTGCCTAAGCGAGTGGTCATCGTTGGCTATGGCCCGGTGGGCCATGTGCTCTTGGAGTAGCTTGGGCTATGGTGTGCGTGGGTCAAAACCAATGGGATCCCATTTTGGGGTAGGTTCACCACCGGGGCAGAATGGTGCTTCCGTAGAATGGGCCCAACCCAACGCTTGGTCTGCTCATTTGTGGCGCAGAAACTTGCGGACAGGGCGTGAGAGAAAGCTTGTGCCTGGAACGCACTCCTTGTACCATCCTTGTGGGCGATTGGCTGATTAACCAGCCAACGCTTCTCAAACCCCAAGACGACATCGCCTGGCCAGAACGCTGAAGGGTCAAGCTGCACAAGTCCCATACCTCAAATATTACAGTAGACTCCGCTGGGCAGTAAAGGTTGCTTTCTCAGAGCATGCGACAGCCCAACCGTCCCAAGCCAATACTCCGCTAGGCACTTGATAGAGGGCACGGAGGTGGGGTTGGAACTCACGGTGCTGTGCGGCTTGGATCAAAATTGTTATGATTCCCAGATTCGTAGTCGGGTTTGTTGTTGCCGTGCTATTTGACTCTGGAAATCGGATACAGATTGATTAGGGATCTCCCCCTTTTTGAACAACCCGGTCGAATTATGAAGGGAAGCTTTTGGCAATTTCAGGGAGGTGCCTTCTTTTGCACATGGAAGAGCCTTACTAAACCCAGGAAACTGCAAAAAGACAAAGGGAGAGAGGCGTGTAGGAGGTGCCTTTACTGTACCTGTTTCCCTGAACTTAAGATCCCCTTTTGTTTCTTGCTTGAAGGTGGGTTGCCTTTTCGGCCGCTTTTTCGATAGCTGCTGGGCAAACTTCAGGTTGATGTTTTCGGATTTGCTGGGCGGCGAAAATCTGAGTGGACGAGCTTTCTTGACAAATGTTTTCCGAGGACTTACAGAGGGAACCCTGTTGGGTCCTGGCAAGTGACATTTTTCTCCATTGAAGCGCTCTCCGAGGGTCGCCATTTTGTCAATCCCACATCAAGGAGTCGTTGTGAACTCCGAGAAACAACACAGGGGCAGTTAGCAGCTACCGCAGCTGTACCTGGGGATCCCTTCTTGCAGGTGTTGCAGTCATTGGACAATGCCGATTGAGTGTTGCAAATTCAGCTTGATCTCCAAACTGGCGGTTCATTGGCGTCCAGAAGCCGATGACCGCTGTTTGCCCATGCGTTCAAGATGGGTGGCCCCCACTGGCTTAGAAAATCCATCTGCCCGCTTAGACGTGCCGGTCCGACTTGCTACCCGTAACTCCATTGATCTTCAGTAGCCCCATGTGAAGTCCCTAAAAGGAAAGAGGCGAAGCCGCGTAACCCCACTTCGGTGCGTTTCAGTTTCGCTGCACGCTTTGGGGTGGTGGTCCGTGGCTTTCAATCGCAATTTGAACGCGCGATCCTCAATCATTCAGAAAGAAACTCGCCAGCCGCACACCATTGTGCGAGTCACTTTTGCTCTGGACCAGATGGCTCTCAAGTGGGCGAGCATTTGGGTTTGTTTGAGGGTAACCTTTTTGGGGATTGGTTCCCCTTGGAATCTATAGGAAAGCACCCACTTCGATCATAAGGAGAACTCAGCATCATGGGAATCCATGATCAATCAGCGCCTTGTTGATGAGAGGGGAAACCACCCGTATGAGGAAAATCCATTGGACAGAAGCTGTTTGGCCAAGGCGAAGAGCCCCGAGCTGCGTACAACCGGGTGGCCATGACCAGCTACTTCCAGCACCGATCGGTGGCGGAGCTGACGTTGGCGAGTCCCGAGTGGCTGCAGGAGAAGAACGTCCAGCTGATCTTCGCCAGGGCCAGGTCTCGGGTCGTCAAATGCCACAAGTAACGATCCTTGTTGCACTCCTTTTGCAGGCCCTACATGTCACCCGCGTCCGGAACAGGGAGACTGACCAGACCCCAATTTGTCGGCCCCTTCGAGGTGCATCAAGCGCGAGCAGCGGCGGGTCGTCTACGAGGGTCCCAACACTACCGGAGAGATCGAGTACGATGAGCTGGTGCTGGCCACCGGCAGCTCTCCTTTTGTACCTCCTGTGCCGGGCTTGAAGCCCTCTCTTCCTGGCGTCTTCCTCTACCGGACCATCGAGGACAACCTTGGTTTTGAAATAGATACTAGAGGAACAACTGGGGGAGAGCATTCAAACCCTAGCTGCTTAGCTGCTATTGGGCAACTGTGCTTGCTCACGATTTGAAGGAGGTGACCCCCTATGCAAACCCTGTCTTGCCTTGGGTCCGATCCCCTTTGTGGATGCTAGAAGAAGCTGGATGCGCATTCGCCAGAAATATGTGGTCTTCGCCAGTTGCTTTTGGTGTTGGTGTTCCGAGCTTTCACTGGAACTCATGTTTCATCCGCAAGCACGTGAGCGGTGCTCAGAGTAGGTCGAGATTTGGTGGTCTAGCTTAGCCTTGCTTCGCCGTGTGTTGCTTTCGCCGAGCTTGGATTTCTACAAACCCTCTTGTGGCGGATCTGTTTTGCAGACAGGAGTTGCCTGGATTCTGGTCTAATGTTGGACCTGCTGTAATGTGGGACCCCCCCTCAACAATGGATCCTGGGAGTCAGGGAGGGTCCAACATGATTGCAATGCAGAAGTTTTAGCTACACCTTGTTGCACAGCAAACTTTGGCAGCTCCAGCTCAACATCGTGTCAAAAAGCATCTCTTCCCACACGTACCGCTGAGGTTATCATGTGTAGGTAACCAGGGGTTTCGCCTTTGGAAGAAGGTTTTCTCAAGAAGGCCCTAGTCTTGCTCAAGACCCTCCTGTCGGTTTCAAGTCTTTTGACAGAGGGTATCCCACTTGGGCATCCCAGTTGTTATATTGTTCAGTGGCACTTCTCCTTTGTATTTGGTGACTACCCACTAAAGCATTCTCAACCCCACAAGGGGTATGCTTCAGAATCTATGCTCATTTCTTTGCTAAGCCCTTGTGATCGGTCCATGGCTGGTCATCCTTCCAGCCGCCGTGTGGTTCGTACCTTGGGCTCTCTGCGTTTATTGATTTTATCAAAGTCCAGCAAGGCTTATAGCCTGCGGAAGGTCCCCCAGCAAGCCCACCAGGTAAGGCTCAAATATAGTGTTGCTTCGATATTCAGCAAGGGGACGGACTCGTCTTAGGACATGGACGGCATCATCGCGCGGGCGGCTTGCGCGGGGAAACGGGCCGCGGTCATTGGCGGCGGCCTGCTGGGGTTAGAGGCTGCCAAGGCATTGATGGACTTGCGGATGGAGGTGGGCGCAAGGGGGAGTTCCACGCGACACGTTTGGGCCCAGTGCTTCTAGGCAAGGCGTAATAGGTAATTAGCCAGGGCAAACCATCATGAAGCACCTAGAGATAAGGAAAGGGTTACCTGCGAGAATGATAACTGGAAGCACTGGCAAGGATGAAAAGGTGTGGGGGCATGGGGGTAAAGGGGTATCATTGTAGAGGGGTGAAGGGTGTAGGGGTATAAAGTACAGGATGAGGGCGACAGCGATGTACATGTCCTGCGTGGCTATGAATAGCACCATACTTGGAACGCACTCGGACATGACGTGTCATTTGGTGCCCCCTGCCCGTTTCTTGTGATATGATGACATGGCCACTCAGTTTAAGGGCGAATATCGGAAGAGTTTGGGGGACATAACCCTCTTGTACTGTGCACGAAAGGGCACGAGATCGTGCAAGTGGGTCCCTTTTCCAGTCTTCCAAGGGAACCTCGCCCTGGGCCTGGGCGGGTTCCCTTTGGAACGACCAAAGAGACAAGGTCCAAAAAGGAACGGCCAAGTAGGCAAGAAGGGAACACACCGGTTTTGGGAGGTGTTCTCACTTCCTGGATTCCTGAGTGGATTGGCCAAGACAATCAAAACTTCTTGTTTGCCACTCAGTTGCTCCAGCACCCAAAGGGCATGTGGAGTGGTCACAAAAATTTGAGCAACACCATCTAGGACATGGGCAAACAATGAAGCCGGGCTGGAAATCTGCAGCGGTTGGCGGCATTGATGTTCTGGCTGGCAAGCCATCCCCAAGTCTCACTCACCTTGCTCCCAAAGCCTTCGCTCCCTGCCTGCGCGATTTCAGAGGAAACCAAAGGGAATATCTTCCCGTTTTGCGGTTTGGAGTCGAGGACATTTAGAAATAAACTATGTTGTTTGCATAATTTGCATTCCACTGGGGGGGGGTCAAAGATATTTTATTTGCACATCTCAATCGGTGAACTATGTATATTTCTACATATGCCTTTACATATACATCTTTGCATAGTATGCACACACACATATAAATACAGAGAGGTGGACATACATATCTTCATCCTAGAAGACGCTCCAAGAACTGCGTGCAGGTGTCAGTGCTGGAAGCGGCGCCGATCCTCATGTCCGCGCAGCTGGACTTCGTGGGGGGCCCCGGACGGAGTGGCACTTGCGCGCGGCAGGGGTGCAGGGTGGGCATGAGGGCAAGGTGGGAACGCCACTGACGCTACAAAGACATGAGCCCCAAGCCGGCCAACCAGCTGGTGGTGGCGAAGACCTAGGGTTGTGGGCAACTTTACAACCAAATCAACTCATGATCAGAAGACAATCATTTGTGAAGACGCTTGGCCCCTTATATTCCTCTACCCTCCTGCAAATTCACGTGGAGGCGAAAATGCGGATCACCCACGAGGAGGCCTCATCTAGAATTCATGCCGTTCTGGGTTCTGCAGGGGTGTGTTACACGACAAGCAGGGGTTGAACGTCTGAATGCAAACCAGAATTGCAGGCTAATCTCTAGGTGTTTGGATGGCTGTGCACGGACAGCAAGCCAACATCTCAGGAGAACATTTCATTGGCTTAGGGATTACCCCAACGTTTGCTTTGTCCCCTGTCGTTTCAGGTAGCCCACTATTGTTTCTGGCTAACAGCCAAAGGTTAGCCCAGATTGTAAGTACTGCCCCGTTTCTAAGAAGGAATTCCTTGAAAAAGAGGGTTTTTGGCCAATGCTGAATGCTGACATTCCATGAAGCTTTCTGGGGAGTGAATCAACACGTGCATTTGGCTTGTTGTGCCAAAGGGCATTCACGTTGTGTTGTGGGTTTCGGACTAGAGTGCTCGCTGACCCCAAACCGCTACCCTCAAACCACTAGCCCCAAGAGGAAGGTCGGGTGTGTAAAAAACTGTCTATTATTTGTAGATATGTACTGTCAGTGCAAATTATATACATGTCTATTTTCTTTATTTTCCGATACCCTCCCGCCAATGAACATGGAACCTGGCACAAATGTCCTGGAAGACAATTTTCCTTTCAAAGGGACCCTCCGAACGTCAGGCTCAATGTGAAACGGGCGGGAGGGCAATCATACATACATGCATGCATACATATGTATATATATATATATACATAGAGTATTATTGTAATCATTTTTGTCATCATTGTTATTATCATTATGCTTATTATTATGATTTTTATTATTGATTATATTTTTATTCACATCTTTCGCACTATGGCCAACCGGATGGTAAGGCCAGTGAGACGAGAGGGCACTTCAGGTGGCCGGGAGCTTGCTGGAGAAGCGGCTGGCGAAGCTGGGGCTCCAGGTCTTCACGGGGGTCGAGCTGCAGGAAGCTTCCGCTCCGCCGGGGGGGGTCTTCGGTCCGTGGCTTGGGGGGCGTCCCTAGGATTCCCGATTCCTTTGGGGTTCAAACTGGTAAAGAGTGGGGGTTCATATAACCACCATGATTTAACTATGGGTTTTCATCCAAGCGGAATCACCACCACACTTTACCTATGGATTTTCAGATGGACAAAATCCATTTCGCACCACCGTTCAGAAACGCTTGTTTCATGATTTGATTCCCCTGTAAATACCAACAAACAAAAGGTTTCAACTCCATGGTTTCAAACTGGTGCAGGATTCCATCCATCAACAGTCGGTTTTCCCTTTTGCTTGGGTTGTAACATCGCCTTTCGGCTTATAGGTTGTAACATAGCCCGACACAGGGTGACCCCATTTGGACGAGGACTGAAGTGGAATTTCCGGGACCGTACGAAGATGTGGTTTTGCCAAACAAGAATCTTGATTAAGAAAGGGGGGCAGGTGGGATTTCACAATAGGGGGAAGTTGTTTGACCATTTCAGGGCCCAAGGAAAACCACTCTCACTCTGGTACGATGGATTCCCTGGCTTGGTGGGGGCGATATTTTTTGGGGGAACAGGCTTCCTTGGGGGGAACCCGTGATGCTTCAGCCAAATATGTGTTTTCTATTTGAAGGGTGTTCACCTTTTTGTGGGGAGCACCGTCCAAAAACTAGCTGAGGAGCTGGCGATCCGTCGTATAGGGTTATGCCCACAAGAAACCACACTGGTATCTCATGATTCACCCAAAAATAGATAGGTGACAACCCCCTGCAAGTGAACGTGGCCAAACAAGAGAGGGTCCCCCCCCATTCCAGGCAGACCATCGATGGTCTACGGATCCGCTTCTGAGATTTTTGGGAAGCTAAGGGACTGATGATCCTTCTCGCAAAAGCTGCTTAAACTCCCAAAGGGGAACCCAATTCTGCTTCAACCGCATGCGGTCGTTTCCTACACGGAGGATGTCACCCTCGCCATGAGCAAAGTGAAGCAAGCAGGGAAGCAATTTCTGGAATTTCAAACTGAGGAAGTTCAACCAAAGTGAGGTAAGAACATCTTGGAACCCGTTCTTCGAGTGAGGAAGTCTTGGGCAACGATGCTGGGGTGCGCTACGTCAAGCTGCTGCGGAATGGCGAGGACAGTTCAAAGAGAACCCAAGGAAAAGTCGGCTTCTCTTCAAACCACAACCCCAAAAGGGTAACTTCACTTTGGTGCATTTTGCTTGGATGTTAGGACTTTAACTTTTTGACAATGGGTTTTCCATTAAACCACTAAAAGTAATTCACCTTTGGCAGGGGAGCAGATTTCGCAACCGAGTTCAATCGATGAGATGCCATTTTGCGGGTCCAGTGGGTTGCTCGTTTGTTTGCTCCTTTGGGCCTATGATCCTATGGGAGGCAGAGGGCGACATGGTCGACATCCAACAACTCAGATCTAAGAAATTGCTCAAACCAACTACGACAATCCGGTCCAAACAGCTAAACGTCCAGTTGCTAGAGGATCATTCTTATTGCAACTGGCCAGTATGCTACTGATCAGGGGGTTCCTGTGGTACTCTTTTTGGTCTTTAAACGTCACGTTTCTAGCTCATTTTATTGTGCCCCGGTAAACGGGAGGAAATCGGACTCGCCCGCAAACCGAACCTTGTGCGTGTTGGGAGCATCGACTGAATATATGTTTGTGTCAAAATGGGCAACCGCTGTTTGATGTTTTGGTTTCAGCCGAATCAGGAACACCCAGAATTACTAACCATGTGCTTGCCTACATCGCCAGACCTACCCTGAGGCCCTGTTGCCTAAATATCCGAGCTTGTGTCTTTATGTGTGTTTGAAGAGGGAAAAGGTGACCCTTTATTAGTGTCTGGCGTCTTCTACGAAGCTATGTCATGTTTTAGGATGGGCAACATATGAAGCAGAACCTGCACACAGGCGCCGTTCGGTGTACCCAGAGTTCCTGAGTGATGCACTTGACGCAACCAAAGACTTGGGATAGGGGAAAACATGTCCAATGAGTATATGTGGCTGTGGGTCAAAATGGGTACCCCAAATGGGTTGCCCTGGTAAATGGAAACATGGACTAAAACCTGGGTCCCCTGATTGTTTAATTTTGACCCATACCCATGTGACTGAGCAGGTGATTTTGGGTACATGGCTTTTCATGGTTTGGTAACGACCTTGTCAAACCAGCCAGCCTGTTTTGTGGGGAAGATTCGCGTGCGGCGTGTGGAGGGGTGGGTTGCGGTAGGATCACTAGGAAGGGAGTCTTGGGATGCTAAATTGGATGACAACTCAAACGGCCAATCTCTTCAGAGGGAGCCGCTTCAGCTGATGGATGAGTCAGCTCGTTGGATCAGCTGATGGCACCCAGTCTTCAGAAAGTCCCATATTTACGTCAAACAAACAAATATGCTAGTATTGTATCCATATTATTTTAGGAAGAACAAAACAAAGGAAGATTCTCATCTGATCGACTAAAAGCAAACTTAGATGATGACAGTGGCCCAAGGGTGACTGGACCCAAGGTGCCCCAAGGCCCCACGAAATCCAGCTGGGATTGGTGGTTCGCATGTTTATTGTCCAACGCCAGACTAACCCTATTTTATCTGATAAAATGGGGGGGGGGTTCACCCTTGTCTGGAGCCTCTAACGGGGGTTCTAGGGTTTCGTCTATCACAAGTGATGCAGGATTTTGTCCATCCCCAGTATGGGCAATTGTTGTTTTTTAAGCCAAGAATTGACTAGGTCCCCCAGTAGTGCCCTTCTCTCCCCTTTCTTGGTTGGGAGGGTTCCCCTAAAATCGACGTCTTGTTCTAACCTCTCTACTGGGGGACCTAGCTAACTGAAATGTTCAGGGTAGCTGGATGTGCCTTGGTCTTTGCAAGAACTCCCTGGCAACTCCATGAAACCATGAAACGGAGCCGTGCTTTGGGTTCATGGTGTTGGAACTGCAATCTAAATCATAGAGCATTCTTTGTGGAACTGCAACCTAAATCATAGAAAGTTCTTGATATAGTTGCAACCTAAATCATAGAAGGTCAACTCATTTCCCAGCTTTGGATTGTGACTAGGGCACCAGATCACTTTGGCTCTTGACGGACCGAGTTCCTTGGCTTCGTTTTCCCCTTGACACCTTGGAATCAACCCCAAAAGGTTCCCCTGAAAAAAACAGAACTCAACACAAACGACCCACACACCCTCACGACATCAACGAAAACTGCCTCCCGGAAATCAACAACCAACCTCCAGCATGATAGAATGACAATAAACCCCAACAAACAAAACAAATAATAGAATTACTAGCTGTTTGTTTGTTGTTGTTGTTTTTCTTTTTCAAAACATATCAATATCATCACTCCGTTTGTTTGCTGATTTTGTTTGGAGTATCAAAGCAAAAAACAACCCCAACTCCACCAGACGGACCACCCTCAGAAATCAACAAACAACCCCTCAAGCGCAAATCAACCAGCAACCTCCCAAAAAGTATGCAACAACCTCAGTCAAAAGCCAATTCCAACTCCAACAAGCGGTGGACGGACCACCCCCCATTACCCCTGTGTGTTTGAAGATTTTGTTTGACACATCAACGCAGAAACCACACCAACGCCAACCAGACGGACCACCCCCCCCCCAAACCAAATCCCCCGCAGGAGGCATAGGTGTCCTTTTTAGGTGAGCCTGGCTAAAAATAGATGGCCCTAGATGGGTTTTGTTCCATTTATCAGGGAAACCCACCTATTTTCCCAAAAGGCCACCCACCCACCCACCCACCCACCCACCCACCCACCCACCCACCCACCCACCCACCCACCCACCCACCCACCCACCCACCCACCCACCCACCCACCCACCCACCCACCCACCCACCCACCCACCCACCCACCCACCCACCCACCCACCCACCCACCCACCCCCCCCGACCCCTTCCCCACCTGCAGGAGACCTTCCCCACCTGCAGGAGACCTTTTTGGAGATGGACCTGTTGGTGGTCTCCTGCGGCATCCGCCCGCGCGACGAGCTGGCGCGGGAGGTTGGCCTGGAGCTAGGCGAGCGCGGCGGCGTCAAGGCGCGAGGGCGCGGCGCGAGGGAGGTGCTGCAGCCAAAAAGGTTGACCCCCATATGAATCAACCCTAGCATATTAGTAGGGGCAGGGGGTGTCCCTGGGTTTCGTGGGGATTCATCACTTTGGAGGGAAAGCAAAAACCCTACTGTGGGTGGACAAAATCCTGCACCACTTTCAAAACCATGGGAAACCATTGTTCATTGGCATTTGCAGGGGAATCATCATTCCAGGGTTTCTTAGGTGGTGCAGGATTTCGTCCATCCACAGTATGAATAAACTAGGATGGGGTCAACGGGGAAAGCGAAATGGAATGAACCCAGGCTTTCCCGTACAGGAAACCACCGGGTGGATGGTTTATAGGGGTCATTCAGTCGTTCCCTGAGCGCCAGCAACTTAGAGCTCCCCGAGGTCACGGACTTTAAACTTTCTGGGGCATGACAGGCGTCTCGGCTCTGGGGTTTGCCCGAGACCCAAGCGTGGCCTGAATAGCTGAGCCCGCATCATTTACCTGCGAAGCCATAGTGCGATCCTCTGAAAGCGCCTTCCATAGGCGTGCCAGACGCAAACGCACTCGTGCAAGGATCATACTCATCCTCAACAGCAGGTCGCCGCCGGAGGTCAACCGACACACTGTCAGCTGGGCACGATCTAAGCTAAGAGCACACCACTCTTGGAACAGAAGTGCATACATGCGCTGGCAATGCATGCAATGCTCTGGCACCAATGGTGAGCATGCCGAATACTGCGGAGGATGTGGATCACACTGGTCCAACTGGGCAACGCCCATGACATGGCACCAGCAACGCCAGCCCCGCAAGACCTCGAGGCCACCACCCACGTGGAATGCCAAAGGCAAAGGCAAAAACAAGAAAGGCAAAGGGAAAGGCAAAAGCCGAAGCCCTTCAGCAACCAGCAACAAGCAACGCAGTGAAAAGGAACCAGAGAACCCTGCGTTTCCCAAGCCGCCACAAAGCAATGCAAGCCATCGAGCCAGGTCCCCAACTGCCACGTATCAATCCCAGCATGGCAACACAGGATGTGACAGTCCTGTGACGACCACCGGTTGGGAGGATGTCACCAGTGCAGCAAAGGAGGACTTCAAGTCGGACCTACAGCAGAAGCCAGTCAAACCTGACATGACACCAGTCAAGGAGACAACCCTGCAGACCGACAAAACCAAGCTGCTCGAGGCCATAAAGCAAACATACGGCAAAAGCACTGCAGAAAGCATCACAGCCATCTTAGTACAAGATGAAGATGAGAAACCAGTTCCATCACAAGTGCACAAAGCAGGAAGACAGTTAGCAAAAGCACAGCGCAACGCAACCAAGGCAAGAGATGCGCTCCACGCCCTTGATGAGTCATGGACTGCCTTTGAGACCAGCATTAATGCTCGACACAAAGAACACTGCCAGGCATACAGCTCAAGCAAGCAACAGTGGACTGAGGTGCTCAACAAAGCCATGGATGATGAAAAAAGCGCCACAAGCCAACTGCACTCCCTAGCTGCACAGATTGAAACCAGAGATGACAAGCTTCTGTCACAGGACAGCACGGCTCTATCCGAGCTTCCAGGCCTCCAACTACCGCCAGCACCTACGCCCATAAAAGTTCAAGAGGACCAGGATGATGACCCAATAGAGCCTGTCACACCAGCAGAAGCACCAGACAAGCCAGCACAGCTAGAGGACAAGCAGAACAAAAGCAAAAAGGCCAAAGATCGGGGTCCCAAGGAGCCCCCGAAGAAGAAACCAAAAGCAGACGAAAAGATCAAGCAGTCCCCACTCCAGTTCAAGCAGAATTCCGAGCCCCACAAGCGTGAGCGCAGCAGATCTGCCAGCCACAACCGCTACGCATCGCTGCAGAAGAACGGAGATAAGGAAGAAGATGAGGATGAGAAGCAGGGATAGTGTGCTTTATGAGTGATGCCATCCAGGAAGCATCACTCAGGAATACCCATAGACCTGGAAATTGTCCAGTTGACAGCACCCGTGAGAAGCACAAAGAAAATGCCGCTGTCACTGTGAGATTTAACACCACTCATGAAACCCTGTTTTTTCATCCCAAAGCACCCCTGAACAAAGGGAGACCAGAGGTAACAAGCAATGCCAAATTGCAGTCGTGTCTCAAACGCCGCAGCCGTGTGCCTACCCAAGCTCCAGTGACAGCATGCGGACCATCCACTTATGGAGAGCCGATGCTCAATCTACTTGCCCTCAGTGCCTAATGCCTGCGAAGATGTACTGTTCCAGTCTATTCTGGAGCATGTCACAAACATGGAGGATGTCAGGTACGTGAAGATTGACCCCGAACCGATAACGTTGGGGTGGGGAGCTGAGAAACCCATCAAAAGCGAGACCATTGATGCCTACCTGGCCTGGTCTCCTCACCACTTCCAGTGGATGAGACACCGCATGCTTGTTCCGGCACTTTTGCAAAATCACCACAAGCACTCATTTGGAGCCCCGCATCGGGTCACCCACTGGCCCATTGCCCTTCCAGTGTGCTCCAGCAAGCCCTTGCAGGGGAATATCCAGATCCCCACACGCAGGTCCACATAAAGACTGGAGGATGCCTGTGGCCAGACAATGACACCCGTGTGCGAGATCTACACTCTGGCATCCTGGTCGAAGCAACATGGGGACACATTCCCGCACCAGTCCATTTCACACCGAGTGCAGGAAGCAGGCCGGCCGACCATGTTGATAATACGCCCACCAAAGAAATCTTGAATAGGATCAATGTAGACAATGCACTACAACTCACCACTCAAGTTCTTGATCAATGGCCCAATCACATCATTTCCCTTGATACAGAAAATATTCCCTGGCACCAGTCCACTATGGAGGAGTTCACGTACCTCAAAACGTGTCTGGACCAGGAACCCATTGGTGTCACGTTCTACACTGATGGTACATTCAGAGATCCAGTTGAGGACGAAATCTGGGGCAAAGGATCTTGGGCTGTTGTAATGTTGTGGAACATGCCGGATCAAAGTCGGGTATGGGGAGGACACGTTGTTGGCCACACACATCAGCCAGATAGTGCTTTTCCAGTTGAACTTGAAGGTCTAATGTGTGCATGCCTGTGGGCAATCCAAATTGTGGCTCATTTTAGTCCTGAAATTGAAATCACATTTCGATATGACTCCAATGAAGCTGGAAGAATGTGTCAAGGCAGATCACGTACCACCAGCAAGCATGCGCTTGGCAGTACTGCTCGTAGTCTGTTCCAACTGCTTGAAAATTGGAGAATGCCAGAATATATCCATGTTAAAGTGCATTCAGGTGAACCCTTCAATGAAGCAGTTGATGTCCTTGCTTGTCAAGCCTGTGCAGGCCGGATCCAAGTGAGCAGCAGACACATCACGTGGTTGGTGCACAAAGCTGCGTGGAATGATCCATCACTTCCACGCCTAGACACCACCACACGTGAACTATAATCCCCCCAATGCCTGAAATTCCCGTTCAAGGAATTGCCGATCAATTCGCAAAAATGCGTGTCAATTCAGATGCTCCTGAAAGGCAAAAAGAATTGGGAATAAATGTAAGCATCAAGTACTGCACGGCCAACGTACTTACACTACTGCCCGGGTACTTCCAAAAGGAAGCCAAAAAAGCACATCCCAATCGTGAGCCCATTGCCAATCCCAGAGAGATATTTCTCATGCAGCAGTTTGCTGAACAATGTGTCAACATATCTGGACTCCAGGAAACTAGAGCGAGACATGAGTACTCTGGAATGTACAAAGGATGGTTCTGACTAAGTAGTGCAGCCAAAGAAGGCAGAGGTGGAGTTGCCCTTTGGGTAAACCTTGAGGTCCCTTTTGGCCATGACCACTTAGGCAATCCCCATTTCTTTGAGAGTGACCACTTCAAAGTAGTTAAGGCTGAACCAGAGCTCCTTGTAGTAAGAGCCAAAAATGCCCACTACAAAAGCATCATTGTTGTGGCGCATGCCCCTGTGCAGCAGCAGGATCAGGAGCCATATCGCATGTACTGGGATAGAATCGTTCAATGCACCAACAACTATGATGCGTCATGGGACATAGTGTTGCTTGCCGATGCAAATGCCGCACTTGGCGACCATGTGATGCCCGAGCAGCATGGAGTGATAGGATCATATCAAGGCCAACCCACATCCCCAAGTGGTGTTGCCTTTTCAGAAGTAGTACAACGCCTTGGCCTGTGCTTCTGTGCTTACCGTCAACCTTTGAGGGACTCCATCAAGGTACACCCTACACATTTACAAGTCCAAAGCTGACCCAGCATAGAATTGATTATGTTGCTGTTCCCAGGTCGTACATGCATTACGCTCAGATGCAATCTTGTGTTGAGATGCAGATTGACTTACAGATTAACAGACCTGATCACCAGGCTGTTACCTTGCATTGTCAATACACCAGTGTCCCCCATAGGTGTGAAGACAAGCCAAGAAAGGCACTGCCATACAGGAGGCCAATCCCAGCCTGCTCTGATGACGTGCAAGTGTGGCGAAAAGCCCTTCGGGCTGTTCCGGCTAGTGTCCCTTGCTCCGAGAGCTGCTTCACACAGAATGTGCACCAGCATGCCTTTACCATAGAGCAAGGCATGAAAGAGCAAGCGACTCATTCGCTGCCCAAGCAGAAGAGTAAGGTCAGACCATATCTAAGTCAGATTGCAATTGACCTCTTGCATGAAAAGCGCCGCATCCAAAGATGCACCAACCGCTCATTTCTTCAGGAACGTTATCTGTACATTGTGTGCTGCTTTCAGGCATGGAAAGATGTCACCACGCCCTCGCCTGCATCTTGTGCACTTAAGCAGATACATCACAAGATTGCCATTCAGATGAAGCAGCTCAAGCAAGTGCGCCAGGCATTGCACCAAGCAATGCAGACCTGCCGAGCTGAATATGCCGAGCGCATTGCTGCCAATGCTCGCGATGCCGAAAGCTACGGTGGCATGAACGACGTATGGAAGGAGATGCGACCCTTGCTTCCCAAGTCCAAACAGATGAAGAACCGCAAAGCAATGCCAATTGCTGCAGTGTCCGATCAGGCCCTTGAGTACTTTGCAGAAATGGAAAGTGGGAAAGTTGTTCAACCTGAAGAATTAGTCCAACAGTGCCAGACCTCGCAAGACTTGCTCACAACAAGTGGCACCATTGCAATTGATGACTTGTATACGAAAGTACACCTTGAAACTGCAATGGCCCGTGTCAAATCAGGCAAAGCCCCAGGCGAAGACCTGCTTGTATCTGAGCTATTCTCGATGGCCAATGTTGAGGCAGCCCACTTATGGTTTCCCCTGATGTTGAAGGCCAGCATATACGCCCATCAGCCTCTCACTTTTCGGGGTGGTACCCTAGTGTCGCTTTGGAAGTCCAAAGGACCCAAAGACCAGATCACCAGCTATCGAAGTGTTTTGCTGTCCACTACTGCATCAAAATGCCACCAAGCTATCCAGAGAAATCAGCTAATGCAGCAAATTGGCCACCGAATGCCAGTGGCCCAGCTTGGCGGAAAGCAGGGCAGCCAGCCATGCTTTGCATCTCATGCAGCGCGCACCTTTCTGCAGATTGGTAGCATAAAGCATGAGTGTTGTGCAGTGTTATTCCTCGATGTCAAATCTGCCTTTTACAAAGTCATACGAGAAGCCGCTGTAGGGTCTCATCGCACAAGTGATCAGTTTGCCTCACTGCTTGAGACCCTCGATCCATCCATGCATGAACAGTATGCCAGCTTGCATACCAGTGAGCATCCGGAAGTCCTGAATGGCATATCCAAAGTACTACTGCAGCAGCTCAAGGATGGCCAAAATGCCACATGGATGCGAGATATGCTCACTGGCCAAATTGCAAGTAGCCGCCAGGGGTCTCGTCCAGGAACACCCCTGGCTGATGCGCTTTTCAATGTGGCTGTGGCTGCAGTTGTGAATGACATACAAGCCGATTTTGAGATGTGGGATCTATGCACTGACATTCACCTCCCGTCTCAAGTTGCCCCTCAAGCATTTCCCACCCTCACCTGGGTAGATGATGTGGTTGCTTGCATTGAAGCCTCCTCTGAAGATGAAGTGCTTGACAAACTAGCCAAAGCTGTCAACATAACTGAGGCTGCCTTTCAAAGTGTAGGTCTTTCCATCAGCATGGATAAAGGTAAGACTGAAGCCCTGATTCAGTTTGCAGGTCCCAAAGCGAAGACAGCCCGAAGAAGACTCCTTGTTGAAAATTCATCAGTGCTGCAAGTTGCCAAAAATGAGGGGAGCAGTGCTAACTTGTCAGTTGTGCCTTCATACTGTCACTTGGGAGGGTTGGTCACGCCAGATGCCACATTGCGTGAGGAAACACGGAGACGTGTGGCACTTGCTGCCCAGGCCTTGCACCAGTTGAGGATTGGAGTCTTCAAAAACAAGGGAATCTCGGTCGCTGCAAAAGTAACCATTGTTGAAGCCACGGTCTTCAGTAAACTCCTTTATGGCGCACAGGCGTGGGGAGTGCTTGATGGTGGCTCTGCAAAGGCCATCAGTGGCTTTTACATGAAAGCTCTCAGGGCTGCCACAGGTTTGTGTGTCACACAGTATGGACAAAAGCATTCAAACCTGTATGTCCTTGCCAAAGCCAGATGTCCGTCTCTTGAGTGGCAGATGCGTAAATTGAGATTGCGGTATCTTGTTCACCTCCAAACTGGTGCCCCTGCCTTCTTGAGTCAGCTTCTGTTGAATGAATACAAAGTCAATGAGTCGCGCGCCTGGTTGACCCTTGTACAACATGACATCGAAGCTGTTAGAGAAGTCATGCCTGATGCATTTCATGGCTTGTCAACCACCTATACTTGGGTCCAGTTGTTCACCTATGTTGCTAAAAGTAGCAATACATGGAAGAGGGACACAATAAAGGCTTGTCAGGCTGCTGTTACACAGCTGACCTTGCTGGCTGACCTGAAACTTTTGATGGTGCAATCGGACAAATAGGTTTGCAGGTTGAACGCAGGCAACTAGACACGCCGACATGTCCACTCGGTCACAGATGTGACTTGTGCGGCAATGAGTACTCCACCCGACAGGGGCTCTCGGCCCATCAGTGGCATGCCCACCAAATTTCCTCCGAGACACGTGCATACACATATGCCTCTCACTGTGTTGTATGTCTCCTTCAATTTCACACCTCCCATCGGGTCAATGTTCATCTCCGGGAGAACCCTCGCTGCATGCAATTCTGCTTGCAGAATTTAGAGCCGCTTACAGGGCCCCCGGTTCACATCAAGCTTGATGGCAGGTTCAAAGGACACAAGAGGATCCCCTGCATTCTCCTGGAAGGTCCGAGGCTCCCTAAAAAGCTTGAGTGGAGGCAAAGCAATGCCAAAGACTACGCCCCAGAAGAGATCGATCTCTTCTGGCGGGCGGCACCGGCCCTGCGAGCACGCCGGGACACACGGAATCCCAACATGCCGGGCAGGAACCTGCGCAAGGCAGGACACACGCCCAACACCTCTGTGCATCAAATAGATGTGATGACTGCACAAGATCACAGCGCTAGCACCAGGTTCACTGCCCAGGCGCCAGTGGCACATCCTCTTGCCATGAACATACTTTGTGCTTCACCTCTTCTCTGGCAGAGACCGTGAGGGCATGCGCCGCCATCTTGAAGAAATGAGTGTAGGGCAGTCATTTCGCATCTTTCTTGATGTAGTCCACGATGTAAAGTTATGTAACCTTGCTTCTGATGAGTTGGTTGCAAAAATCCTTGCACTCATCCGTAGTGGTCACATTCTCGGTGCACAGGCAGGACCACCATGTGGGACATGGTCACGTGCCAGGGAGGTGAAGATAGCAGATAAGCCCAATGCGCCCCGTCCACTCAGGAGTGCCCATCAGCCATGGGGACTCCCCTCCCTACGCTCCAAGGAATACAAGCAACTACAGATTAGCAACAAACTCCTGCAAACCGCATTGCTTGTTGTTGCACACCTGTACGCATGCTGTGGAGTGACCATGACAGAGCATCCCGGTGAGCCCTCGGAAGCACGCCTTCCTTCCATATGGAGGCTTGCTCAGGTTGATGGCTGTGTACCCTTCCTGGAGTCGAAAAGGGACGAATAGATCAGCGTCAGTGGGGCCAGACAGCTGAAAAGCCGACTGACCTGTTGGTGACCCACCTGCCAGGTTGGGAGCGAATCCTTGCATCCACAAAGCTGCCCCGAAGTCAGTGGCCGGCAAAGGAAAGATCCATTGGCCATAATGGGGAAGCCTTTTGCACATCCCGGTTGAAGGAATACCCTCCTCTCTTGTGCAAAGCATTTGCCAAGTGCTTCTGGATCAGTGCTCAGCTAAGGGAAACCACGCAAACTGATGTTGCTGAGATTTCCTCCCAAAGCATGCTCATTGAGTATGCCAACATGCCGCTGGCACCAGAAATTGGGCCGGACTATGCGGCTGGGGTAAGCACATGAAAGCATGTGCTTAATTAATGCAATCGCTGCGTTCGACAGAACTCTGTGCGCATGGAATGGAATGGAATGGAATGGAATGGAATGGGGCATGACCATTTTAGTGGCAAGTAAAAAGTTTGGACTTGTTTTGGCCAATCCACCCAGGAAGTGATGGCAGAGACGTTTAGAGGAACCACTCAAAGTCTAACGAACATCCCAAAACCACTCAAAAGGGGATCAACGCATAGTTCAGCTAATGACAGATTCCACAAGCTTCACTTTTATAGCAAAGCATCAGCGAACAAGGGACCTGTCCCGGGCGCGGATCGGTTCAAAGCCACATGAATGGGCTGAGGTTGAGGAAAACAATATCAACCTGATTGATCTTTTTTATTGTCTCTCTTGATTCCGCCAGGCCAAGGCCACCATTTTATTGTTTTTAACGAGGGCCCCAAAAGGGCGACACCACGAAGTTGTTCTCAAACACGAAGTTTTCCTCGGCCCTTGCGTTTCTGGCTGGGCGTCGCGAGACTCGTTTCGCCCGGCTTTTCGGCTTCGGATCAGGTGGATAGCTGCCTGCGCTCGAGCGATCCTCACATCTACGCGGTGGGGGAAGTGGCCGCCTACGAGGCGACGCGGCTCGCGCCGGGGCGAGACAAGTGCTTTTTCGTGGCAAGCCATGGCCAGGGGAGACTAGGAGGTAAAACCTAGTAAAGAAACCGCAGAGTTACTATGGTGCTAGCTCGATTTTGCTGGGAGGGTCGTGGTTGTGGAAGATCGGCTTTTTAGGGCAGGCGACTTTCCGTGACAGGGAAACCTTTGTCAACATGAACTTTGAAACTAGTCATGGATATTGGCCAGAATTGGTTGAGTCCCATGCCAAGTCAAAAACATCCCAACATCTAAACGTACTGAGCAAAGGGAAGAAAGGGAAGCATAGCTCCTGTCTTTGGTGCATTTTGCTTGGGTTTTCCATTAAACCACTAAAGGTTAAACTTTTAGTAGGGGAGCAGATTTCGCAACCGAGCTGCTGTCTTGGTGTTTTCTTTGGGCTGTTGCCAGGGCGGACTGGTCTACGGGCTGTGGAAGCCCGGAGCGGAGCAGGCGGAAGTCCTGGCCGCCGTCCTTGGCTCGCCCGTTTCGTCGCCTGGAAGCGCGCGGTACCACGGCAGTGACCTGTCCACCAAGCTGAAGCTGCTGGGGGTGAGCCTCGGCAAGCAAACAAAACTGCCTAGACGCTCCCATCATGTTTGCGGCCCTCGCGGGCCCTCGCGGGCCCTCGGGCTGGTTTGGTGGATAGGATGCGGAGTAGGTTGAACAGTGTGCTGGCGTCTTAAAAAAGTTTGAAGTATGGAGCTAGCAACAGGATGTAGATGTTGTAACGGGGTCTTGTCGTTGGTTCAGGTATTCAGTTGCAAGTTGGGTTGGGCCACCTCCTAGGTCAGTTGCATGTTTAACCCACCGTTGTTTAAACCAAGTCCTATTTTTATTTTCCCCAAAATGTGGGCCTCGGGAGCTGCGTGGCTGGCGCTGGGCGCTGATACTCCAAGTGGAGCTCCCTCACAGACCAAGGGTCCAGGGGGCTGTGAGGGCAATGGCTTGAACCATGGACTCAAATCGTAGCCATTTGCTACGGAGTATCCTTCGGGAGGTTCTGTTGGGAATTCCACGTCGGTGTTCAAAGGGCGTATCCATCTTCATAAAACATGGCGGCAACTCGCCCAGCGAGCCATAGAACAAAGACATGCTCATGATGAGCTGCGTGTCTCTCGGGAAGGCAGCTTGAGGTCGTGGAAGGATTGCGCAGGGTGTTGCTCGCTTGCCTTTCTTGCAGACGATAGACCTCTTGAATGAGACTCAATGGAACAGCCATGTCAGAAAGCTATTGCTTACATCATCTTTGCCCTTCCTTGGAACCAGCTGTTCGCAGGAGTGTGGTGGTTCAGAAAGGTTCGGGTAACCGTGCTAAGGTGTGTGTGGCATCCTTGTTTGTGCAGCCCTGCTAAAACTGTTTTGCTGGTTGCGGGCTTTGCAGTCTGCGGGAAGAGAAGCTAACCCAACAGGCAGGGCGATGTCCCGAGAGATGAGGTTCAATCCAACCACAGGCGGCAATATGCGGTTGCAACTCAAAATAGAATATGGAACCCTTCAAAATGGATCAGTTCCTTTTGGTTCTCTGGTGCGGGAACTGGGCCAGGAAGCAAGTGCAGCTTGCTCTCGAGACATCGAGTTTAGGGCACGCTTGGCGAATGCAGGATAGCATCATATGAGTCACTGATAGTATGATTGGTCGTCTATTGCCACCTTGGGAACGACATTCGGTAGATTTCGGTGGGACCACCCACCATCACTTAAATCACGGTGTCCGGCAATGCGTTCTTTGTACGCAATTCCCGTGGTTTCCCGTGGTAGGTTGGAGAATCCCATAAAAGATGTCCAGATCATGGCGGGAGGAGGAGGTACAAAAAAAACACACATGTTCGCCCAAGGAACGTGGCCTGCTTTGGCGCCAACGCGGAGTTTTGGAAGAACCGCCACTTGACGTTCACGGGAGGGGGAGACCCGACCGGCGGTGTGGGGTCCGCGTTCGTATCTTCTGGGCAAACTAAAATCCCGTTTCATTTCGAGACGCGGCCATGCGGCACGCCTGTTCTTGGTTGTGGGAATGAGGGGTTTTCAGGGCAGCTCTTTGCAAAACCGAGGGACCTTGTGAGTGAAGTAGTTGTAATCCCAGAATGACTTGCCGGGGCCCGTTGGCAAGCCAGCTACCCTGCGCCCTCCCCCCCCTTTTCTCCCAGTTCAACTTCACTGGATTCCATTCTTAAAGACTACAACATTTTAGCGGCCATGGAGATAATTTCTCATTGTAGTGGGCCATTTTGGTGGGTTTCCCACTACAATATGCATTATATCGCCACGGCCCATCTCGGGCCGGGGCCACCGGGCAGGATTCCATTTCTTTCATGGTGGCCGTTGCCCCGTTTGGTTTTGGGATTGGGCAGTAATCTGCACAGCGACGCATTTCGTGCTCCTCTTTGGTGGTTCCCTTTAGTTTGGAAATCATTGTGATTGATTTGGTCAAGCGTGCACGGCAGGGTCCAAACTTACACGTCAATTCTGAAAACCTGGGAAAGTGAAGGTCAGTAGGGAGGCGGTCCCAACCAGAAATAGATGTGGCCCCTTTCGATTATGTGGGCGTGGTGCTAAAACCCATGCATTCGGTTTAGTATTCCGAGTTTTCAGCTTACTTGGCATGAGCTTTTGTTGAGTACCACGTTCTGCTTGCTCTGGATAACCTTCCAACCTATGCGCCCTTTGCGAGGCATCTTCGACTTCCAGGACGGCCAGGCCAACATTTGCGTCACCACAGCACTGGACGCCGCCTCTTTCAGGTGCCTCGGAATCAAAGCAACCAACTCTCCAGTGGGTGAGGAGGGGAGGGTGGGTGGGTGGGTGGGTCCCGTCAAACGGAAAAATGTTTGGGGTTGATCTTTCAAGGGGAAAAGGGTGGAAACAGATGCGAGATCAGCGGGTCGCTTTCTTTCTTCAAGCCCCAAGAAAGGCGCTCAAGGGGTTTCGCTCGACGGGTGAAATTGACTATGGCCCACGAGTTGAAGGGAGCACTGCTGAATGTTGGGGGCTTAGGTGCTTTGCCCTTGAGGGACCCAACCGCCCCGTTTCCCAAGACCCGGGTTAACAAGCCTTGTTGACGTAAAATCAGGCTCAATAAGGCCGTAGCGGTAGTTTGTTGGTGTGTCTTTTTTTTGTTGTTTCTCGGGGGGTATGTAGGATCCGTGATTGAGTTGCTGCGAAGATGTTGCCACAGCATCAGGAGCCCGTGTGGTTCTTCACGACCCCTTGTAGCTGGCGCAAAGAGGAACATCCCTTCTCGGCTCTTTGGCCATCCGTTGGTTTGTAGAAATATATGCCGTTTCTTGCCAAACGAGACAGTTTTGCATTTCTATCACATTGCTCTTCTCACCGGACCAAAGGAAACCATCGTTTTGGTGTGCTGTATTGCTTAGGTAGAACAGTGGATCATATATAAGAATGCGTTTGCCTGAATGCCCGCAGATGCAGCCCTTTGTGGCATCACTCCTCCCAAGAATAGCTCACCCCCCTCAAGGAAAATGCACAGGTGAGTACGACCTTGAGCAGCAAAGCCACAGGGGGACTTCCTCAGGGTTAAACCAGCGATGCGTTTTGTGAGGGCCACTTCCTAGATAGCCAGTGACTTCTTCCCCACAGAGGGATTGTGGCGCGCATGGACAAATTCAAACATCCAGCAAGCGGCTCGCTAGCTAGAATACGTCGCAGGAAACCATCCGCAGAAAAATCTAGAGACACTGATTTCCACAGTCGCCAGTTTCTATTGGCCCCTGCCCTAGCCAAATACTACAGGCCAGACTACGTGTGCAACAAACATAATGTACATATGACATATGTATATAATATATGCACAATGGGTACATCAAGGGTACATATTCACATTTACCAGGGCCGATGGTAGCGTTGTCCAGGGAAAGTACGTTTGGTCATCATCACAGCAAGTATCTTACAAACAACATGATGAGTGCCCCTTACTTTGTGGGATCCCAGCGAATTATAGCACGTGGATTCCTTGCCTGACCCCAGAGATACTACTGAGTTGTTAATTGTCCTCACTTGAGCCCCAATCAACAACTGAGTCGGTCAAGCTTAGTAGGGGACAGTCCCAATCTCAAATGGGCGCGGCCCTTTTCAGAATTGGCGGTCTTAAAAAGGAAGATGGGTGACCGGCTCTTGGCACAATTTATATACCAATATTGCCAAAATAACCACATTTTGCCATCTACTGTTGCCCTGTGTCATGGGCGCTTTGGCAGACATCATTCACATAGTTGAACTTTTGTCCGCCAACTTGGGTGCTCAATCTGAAGCCAGTGGAATTCATCCAACATGTTTTCGGCCAAGGTATGGCAAGTGAGGTGAGGTTTGATTTTGCCCCACAGGTACCGCAAGCTCATCTTCCGGCGCCTGCCGTGCGGCAGCCGGCGCCTCATCGGCGGCATCCTTGTGGAGAGCGTGGAGGACGCTCGGAAACCAGGAAACCGCGGGGAATTTCACGCCATGGAACCTTTCTAGGTCCTGGAATTGAAGCGGCAAGCCTTTCCCTCAGAAGTAGCCTTGGACCCGCCCTGGCAAGGGGTCCAAGAACGGAAACAGGTGCTACTAATCAGACTGGGTTTTGCACCAGGGATTCATGTCAGAGGTTCTGTGGTCGCTAACTAGGTCCCCCCCCTTTCTCACCCCTTTTTTGGTTGGGAGGGTGCCCCTACCAAGATTGACTACAGAAAAGTTGGTACCCTTATTCTAACCTCTCTACTGGAGGACCTAGCTTTGTTGCCCAGCGGCGCCCGTTTTTTCTCTTTGTTGGGGAAGGGTTCCGATTCCTTTAAACTCAACCAACCAAAAAAGGATGCCCTTTCTTTACCCATGGCCACTGGGCGTCTGAGGAACCATTTGTGGATGAATCCAATTTTGGGGAACCCGGGTTTTAGATCAAAATGTGAATTTGCAGGAGGGATTTCTTGATTGTCAACAAAGAGGAAATTACTTTTTACGGAGCCAGACTTTGAGCAATGGCCAATAATGATTGTTCGACATGAGCAAGCTATCTGCCAAGCTCCGGCCGTTTGCAGATATCACACGTTGCGGTCACAACTATGGAACTCTTGCCAGCTTTGAGGGCAACCCAAGCATCAATCGGTGATGACCTTCCATTTTAAAGATTGCACATCTGGCCTGGGAAAACGCGGGATTAATCACGCACCCCGGATGTGCCTGAGATTAGCCTTGTTCTTTACAACCCCCCAACCACCAACTCAAACCACCGACCAAAGCAATCCATTAGGAGCAAGCTGAGCCCACGTTTGTGTAAGTTGCACCCCTCAACACGTCGTTGATTCCTTGAGGTAAACCTCTCTCTTTCAAAAGATCCTTCGAATCTCCTGGTTTCTGAGGACTTAAAACCTTTTAAGGAACCTCTCCTGGTTTCTGAGGACAAGGAACCTCTCCTGTATCCCTCGACTTAGGACTACCCTTTCCTTTGCGACCTGGCGCGGTGCGGCCGCGAGCTCTGGGGCCTGGAGCCAGTGGTGATGACCCACGGGCCCTCAGCCAATCCAGGAATGATCGAGGAGCAGGCGGGAGGTGTTGGGCCCAACACCTCATGGGGGCTGGGAGGGAGGGAGGGGAGGGAGCCCCAATAAGCCCCAAATAAGGGCGTATTTGGGGCTTATTGGGGCTCCCTCCTTTCCAGCCCCCATGAACACCCGGGCGGCGATGGATAGAGGTTTTGGTTTGGGCTTGCTTAGCCTAAGTGATTTAAGTTCATTTTGATGTTTGGTGTTGGTCTTAGCCTTAAGTTTAATTTCTTGTTCATTTTGATATTTGATGTTGGTTTGGTGAATGTCTGCATGTTTGGCTGGGTTTAGTTTGGCCTTGGTTTGTTTATTTGGTCTGGGTCAAATGTGTTTGTGTGGTTTGGCTTATCCTCAGTTGCTTGGTTTGGTTTGGTGTGGTTTGTGTCCTTTTGCTTGGTTTGGCGAATGTTGAGTTTGGGTTGGTTTATTTTCGTATACAGTAGAATGGTCACCATAAGTGTTGGGCTTGATTTGAGTCTGCGCTTGTGTGGTTGTCGCTTGGTTTGTGTCATTGTTTGTTTGGCTTGGGTGGGTCAGGTTTTAAGTTTGGAGGGCCATTTTTTTAGGTTTTTGTTCTTCGTTTAAAAAGAAAAGAAAAGAACAAACGAGTGTTGTTTTTTTCAGGGTGAGTGGCTTTTGGGCTTTTTGGTTTGGCTTTTATGTGGGTTTATGTGGCTTTTGTGGCTTTTCATATAATATGGCATCCTTTGCATTCACAGTTCCTCTCTGTTTGGTTTGTGGCTCTTGGCGGCTTTCCGGCTTTAGCTTTTTGCATCCTCTGCTTTCCCAGTTGGTTTTTGGCCTTGGCTTCCAGTTCCTCTTGCCCCCCGCCACCCCCCTTTCGATTAAAATGCACCCCAAATTGCATCATCACGTTTTCGATCATCATGTGGGGGGGCCGCCCCCCCCCCCCCCCAACCCCCCACTACTTTGTAGATTTTTGCCCCTAATTGAATCATCACTTTTTCGATCATCATGCGGCAGCCCCCCCAACCCCCCCCGCTCCTTTTTATTTTATTTGCCCCCAATAAAATCATCACTTTTTCGATCATCATGCGGCGGGCTGCCGCCCCTCCCCCCCCCCAAACCCCCCCCCCCCCCGCTACTTGTTGGACTTTTGGGTTGGACTTTTGGCAGAGATTAAAATGCAGCCCGAATTGAATACATTATGGGGGGGCCCCCCCCCAACCCCCCCGGGACTTTTTAGGTGTTTGACAGGGATTAAATTGCACCCGTATTTGAATCCTCACTTTTTACCATCATGAGAGGGACCCCCCCGCTGGGTTTTAACATACATACATGAATACCTGCCTACCTTGCCGGAGAGGAACTGATGATGCTGAGGATGTAGGAAGCCCTGGATTTGCTGGTCTGTCTGTCTGCGTCAGTCTATCTCTGTCTCTGTTTGCCTGTGTCTCTCTGTCTGTGCCTCTGTCTCTATGTCTGCGTATGTCTCTCTATTTAGCAGCCCATTGGCGCAAAGCCAATCGACCCGATCGATGTGGCCTGACTGATTTCTGTCCAATTGTGGCAGCTCAAAAACGTCAACGTATTTTGAAGTGGGCCACAGCGGCAAAGGGGCACCCTTTCTATTCACAGAGGAGAAGAAAGAAAGATCACCAATTTGAGCGAGGCATGTAAGTAGCGAACCCGACATCTGAAAACTAACATGGAGCCAAACCGCTTTTCGAATTCTTGTTGTGGGGGACGCGATTTCAGGGTTTCACGTGAGTTGACAATAAAAGCCAAATGGGTTTCTGGATACTATGAAGCCAAAAGCGCATCATCATTATGGACCGTGATGTTTGCAATTGTGCAGCCGTGCTCTGTTTCTGAAATCCACCTCAATCCACATGTTTATGACTTGCCTCCTTTTGGAGTACCTGTTTTTGGAGGTGCATGTCAACCTCACTGGTTCGTTTTCACACAGGGCACGGGTGTCGGGTTGGGTTGTATCATTCCACAAAAGGGGTTGTGACCAACATTGACCAACAAATCCAAGGGCACCAAGCCCCCTTTCAGCCCCCGAAAGTGCCCTAACGAATTCTTCACGGGGGTTGCAAATTCCAACCTAAAGAGTTGCCCTTTCAGGTTGGTTTGGTCATTTCCCATTACTTTTGCCGGCACAAAGGGGGTTTTGCCGCTTTTTTCCATCTACTTTGGCCCAGGTGTACCCCACGTTGCGTGCCCCGAAGAGTTTGGCGGAGCTGTACGCGCCAAAGCGCGTGGTGATTGTGGGCTACGGACCCATAGGGCACGCAGTGATTCAGAACCTTGTGGAGCAGGAGACAGAGCTCCAGTCGGGGTGGGGAGAGGGCTGCTTGGGGTGGGTGCGAGACAGAGGGGGAGAGAGAAAGAGAGAGCAAAAGAGAGCACAGAGAGGGAGAGAGCTGCACGAGGCCAGCCCTCTCAGCAAGCTCCCATGTCTGGACTGGTTGATTCAAGTGAGATAGCACAATAGTGGGCTTGTTCTAAACACATCGGACCTTTCTGGGTTTGCTGGAAAATGGTCTTTTTGACCTCTGTGACCAGTTTGCTTTTGCCCGCTGAATTCCTGCTTCAGACAACAAGCACAAAAACTTGCTCGGCCGGGTGCATGTGTTAACAACGATCGCTCTTGGAGCCTTTGGTGCGTTGCAACGTCGGCGAGCAAGGAGAGAGCCGTAGCCATCACTGTGATCTGTGAAGAGCCCCGAGCTGCGTACAACCGGGTGGCCATGACTAGCTACTTCCAGCACCGATCGGTGGCGGAGCTGACTTTGGCCAGTCCCGAGTGGCTGCAGGAGAAGAACGTTCAGCTGATTTTCGCCAAAGCCAGCTGTATCCAGCGCGACCAGCGCCGGGTTGTCTACAAGGGTCCCACCACCGCAGGCCCGGTTCTTCATTTGTCCGGATCCCCCTTTTTCAGTTTGGCTTCCCCTTGTCTGGATAGTTTGCACATCCATTTGGTTAAGATTGTTTGTTTTATTTTCCCCTGCTGGTTTTAAAGGGAATCTATCACTACTGGAAAGATTGTTGATTTTTGTCCAGGGGACTTAAGCAAATGGAGGTACATGTTGTACCCGTGACACTGGTTGCAACTAGGAGAGATCGAGTACGATGAGCTTGTACTGGCCACCGGCAGCTCTCCGTTTGTACCTCCCGTGCCGGGCTTGCAGCCCTCTGCTGGCGTCTTCCTCTACCGAACCATCGAGGATGCCGAAGAAGTGGGGTCATGGAGACTCCAGGTAGCTTCTTTTTGTTGGGATTCCTTGTGTAACTCGTTGAAATTGGTTCAAACAAGCAACGGACGCACGTGACGTCCCTTTAGGACATGGACGCCATCATCGCGCGGGCCAAAGGCCGGCGAAAAGCCGCGGTCATCGGTGGTGGCCTGCTGGGATTGGAGGCGCGGGCCGGGCCGAAGCGCAGGCCACGGGAGTCCAACCAACTGGCCAAACCAATGTTCAGACAAGTTTAAGCCCATTCGGCGGGTCTCTCCTCCACAGTTTTTGTTTTTCTGTATTTTAGGTATAGACTAAACACGGGCCAGAATTTTGAAGACATGATTTTGGTGTATCCTGGGGTTGGGCCAAGTCAAACCAATATTTGCCCAACCCTTGCAGGTATCGGGCTTTGCAGAAGGTGGTTCTACTACCCAGTCTTTTGTGGGTTCTGCCAAGGCTGGTTTTGCAAATGTGTATAGCCAATCATGTTGGAAAAGGAGCCAATAGGCTTTGGATGCTGCTTGTCCGGCGGCAGCTTTCCTACTTTTCCTTTTCAGCCCTTTTAGCCTTTTAGTGTTTAGTGGTAGTCTCCGAATTTAACCCACTAAAGGTGATTCACTTTTAAGCGGGGGATCTGACGGCAGCCTCTCTGAAGAAAGGTCCCTTTTGGGGAGAGGGGTACGGACATCAGGCCTTTTGGGTTCATTTGCCCAAGGGGTATGTAAAAGGGGTATGTACCTGGAGTCTCCATGACCCTTCAAACATGGATCCATGACGGTAATGACCCCATTGTTAAAGTGGAGACTCCAGGTACAAGCACCCGCATTCTCTTGCCTGCCAAAGACGCCTACCCGCGAGTCGCTTCGACACCCGCAGGCAGTGAAGGCGCTTCTTGACCTGGGCCTCGAGGCGCGAATCGCGTCGAATCGAGTCAAAGCCAGGCTCACCCCTTTTTGGGTTGGGAGGGTTCCCCTACTAAAATGGACTACAGAAAAAGGGTACCCTCGTTCTAACCTCTCTACTAAAGGACCTAGGTTTCAGTGGCAAACAAGAAGTGTGAACCTTTGTTGGCCAATCCACTCAGGAAGTGAGTGGTTCTACTGCCTGTTTCAGCTGGGGTATGAGACTAGACCGACTAGACCCTTCTACTTGGGGTTGGGATGGTCAGTAATAGATGTGTGAGACAGCCAATGTCACGGTTCAGCTTGTCAAAGTTACCATTGTAGTGGGTAACCAGGCGAAACCATCATGTAATACCTACGTAGAGATATGCAACCCTGGTTACCTTGCTACAGTGGCAACTGGAAAGTGCCGGGGAATTCAGTTAACTCGACATTTGACTATGAATTGACTTTGTGAAGGGTGAATGAGCAACGGTCGACATTTTCCGTCTACTGTCAAGGAGATGCCATTGGGTACACTCGAGATACAGCAACATCCCGTGATTGGAGAGACACAACATATTGACTGGCTGCCATGACGTTCAGTCAAGATATGCATTAGTCTATGGCCAGTTTGAGAGGGACATGTGGGCTCGCCGCATTTCCTTGGCATGGAACCCAACCAGGGGCGCCATTTCCCAAAAGGAGATCCTCCAATAATACTCGACGGGTTTGTTGAGTTCCATGCGACTTACTATGTTTGACATGGTTGCTCTCAGGTTCGACCTTGGTTTAAGAGTTGCTTCCCTTGTTCGAGAAGCTTCTGGCTCATAGCCTAAAAACAATTGTACTGGGCAGCCAGGGAAACCAGCATGTAAATTCTAGAGGCATGCAACCCTGGTATATAGTCGATCGTTTTAGCTGAAAGCGGATTAAAACCAACAGGGTCCATCAAAACATCCTCAAAATGACCTCCTACTTTGCGGTTTAAAGGGACCCCATCCCCAAAAGTAAGTCAAAATTCAACCAGGGGACCGCATGTGTTTGTCATTGTTTGTCCCTTCCATTTACCAGGGTTCCATGTTGCGTATTTTTCTTCCATTTGCTTAAGACCGTTCTTTTTCTTGGCCCTGTTGGCTTTAAAGGGAATCTATGACTACTGGCATTATATTTTTCCAGGGGGCTTAAGCAAGTGGAAGTTTTGCCCCACACGACTGGAACTGCTCGAAGCGCCTGAAAAACGCGACTGCTCCTCCCGCAGGTGGCCGTGCTGGAGGTGGCGCCACAGCTGATGCCCTCTCAGCTGGACTCAGTGGCAGGAGCGGACCCGTCAGTTGCGTATCCTCCTGTTTGCTATACAAATATATATATATATATGTCTACACATACATAGGCTATGTTACATAGGTACATATATGTATTATTCTTCTCCATTTAGTGATATCTGGGTTATTTCATGTATAAGACCAAATGTGAAGCAGAACAATTATCGGTATTTCCGTGTACAGACTTGGGCCAAGGAATGGAGGACACCCCTTGGAAGTTTGGATGCTTGCACGGTTCTTCAAAGCAAAACACAAAACAATCCGCGACCGGAAGGCAAAGAAGTTCTTGGCAAACGAACGCTTGCCCACGATGAGGGTCCTTCAATTGGGGATCCCTTTCCTGTCATAGACTGGTTGCCACTCTCTCAAGCATCAGTAGAGGCGATTCTAACTCAACGGATTTCCTTTTGGTATGTTTTTCCTTGGAGCAAACACGCACGTGGGCGTTGGGACCACAGTCCCCAGATTCTGCATTGTGTTGACCCCAGAGACCTCAGAAACCTCAGAGACATGCGCCTATGGCCGCCTATCTCAATATGCGAATCGGGTTCCCACAAAACGGTTGGCTTCTCGGTTGCTCTTTTCAAGCTACCAACACGGGTATTAACCAGACAAACTGCCAAGCAAACCTGAGTCACAATGAAAATATGGCTCGTTGATGCTTCGCATGGGATAGTCCCAGCTATGAATTGCTGCAGCAAGAGCTATGTCTAATTCATTACGCGGTTTTTAGGTGGTTCACGTGATTCTGACTGACACGGCCAGGGGATTTCCTGCAGAAGAAGATTGAGGAATTGGGCTGCGAAGTGCTGGTGGGTGTCCGGCTGCAGAAGGTGGTCCAAGAAGAGGACACGCTTTGCGCCCTAGTCGGCCAGTAACCTTAATTTTGGAATATTTCCTTTTGGCGTCACTTCCATTTGCTTAAGATGTTTTTTTCAGTTTCCCTTGTTGGTTTTAAAAGGAATTTATCACTACTGGAAATATATATATATATATATTTATTTTTCAGGGGTCTTAACCAAATGAAAGATCACGATAAAAACGCGGCCGCCATGCTTTTCCCATGGCCAGTTGTCTGAGGCGTGGAGTTCACGCAGGACGAGGCTCTTAGCTCCTCGTCCCAGCTCCGACTCGCCGAGTCGGAGGGTGAGGCTTCTTTGTCTCATTGGACACATGGGCCGAGTTTTTGTCTATAAGCCGAGTTGTTCCTTCTTACAACCGCGCGGGGAGCAAAACTGAGTCCAGCCCCAGGCGTTGAGACCAATTTTAGCATGTCGCTAGCCCTATGTCGTCCCATTCAGGCTTGTAAACCCCAAACCTTTTGCAGGCAGGTGGTGGGTGGCTGGTATGTGGGATGCGTGCAACTAATTTGGTATGGGTCCTCCGCTTTGTCTACCCAAAAATGCTTGGGACAATACAGAGAGAGCAGCTCCCTGCAATTGGGCCTTTTCGGCTATTTCCCATGTACCATGGTCAAAGACCAGGCAGCAAAGGGTTGGCGTTGGACTCGCTTATGATGAGTGTTCCGATGAGTTTAATGGGAAAAGCGCGAGGCATACACATCCCGATGTGGATGATGGCAATGATGATGATGATGATGATGATGAGGAGGAGGAGGAGGAGCTGGATGAGTTTAATGGCGCTGTCCCCCACAGGGTCCTTTGCTTTTTCATTCTGGATAGGGTCGTCACCCCTTCAAACCACAGACCACGGCCTAGCCAGCCCCTGCTCGCGACAGAGATTTGGCGCCGCAGATGTAGCTGTACCCGTTTTTTCAGGGAACCTCTTGCTGAGCTGTTTTGTGTTTTGTGGGGGGCCAATTCCGGTTTATTTCAATATGCATGTCACGGATGGAATTCTAGGAGGAGTCACTGTGAGAGCTGTGCATCACTGTAAGAAGGTGGGCTAAAGTTAGTACTATTAAGCTTTACATTTCGCTGTATATCACATGATATCATGTGTTATCATTTATTTAGTGTCGTAACATATACTATCATATCATATTAAATCGTATTGTGGTGTATTAAATCATATCATACAATGTTGCTAACATGGCATATAGATCATTGCAGCACACCATGTCTTGTCGTATTCTATTAGGCTGTAGAACTATATATATATATATATGTACACATGCATATTGCGAGCCATTCTGTGTTGAAATGTTGCATAAAGGTAGTTTATGGGGGGGGGGGGCTGACCATATAGATATATATATATATATGTATATATATATATACACATGCGCATGCATATTCCGTGCCATTCTGCATCGAATGTTAGTGCTGATCTTTGGGTTTGCTAGGAACTCTGGCTCTGGACATGCTGGTGGTCTCCTGTGGCATCCGCCCCCGGGATGAGCTGGCGAGGGACTGCGGCCTGGAGCTGGGCGAACGAGGCGGCGTCAAGGCGCGGCGTTTTGTTGTGCCTGTTTTGGGGGTCGGTTTAATGTCCAACTATTTTGAGGGGGCCACTGAAACCCCCAAATTAAAGCCATAGCCTTTTGCTGTTAAAGGGTGGTTCACTCAAAGGGTAAAGAGCTAGGAATTCCATTTTGCAAATTGGATCTTCTAAGGAGACAGCGGATTCATTTCGCTTCATTGTTTTGACCATTTCTGGGGTCAAGTCAGAAACTCGGGTGGTTTCCTTTCAACTTTCAACCTACCACTTTGGGGGACGTTGATGAATATAAAATTATGGGGCCTGTTCATGGGTTGACAGGAGCTCACTCTGATGTATCCTCCTTGAGACTAACATGGAAGCTCCCAGGACCCTTTGGAAGACTTGGTTCCAGTTACAGAGGCCCTCTGGGAGCTTCCGGCTGGTCCGAGGGAGTGTAGTTCCCTTTGGATCCAACACTTATTTCGGGTATTTTATTTGTTGATGTGCATAGAACATGTGCGATCTGCTGCATCTAATTTCCGACACTGAAACTCTTGTGGCCAAGGGTTGCTGCGGTCGAGCCCTGGGTGACAAATCTACCGGTTCCAGAAACTGCGTTCGCGTAGCTGGGTGCTAGACATGTTTCCCCCCAAGAAAATCAAAAGGGAATGAATGGCACGCAGGTTATTTTGCCAAATGCCTCTTTATATTGGTAACTTCCCCGTCCTTTTCAGGGAAAACCAAAGCAAATACCCAGCGGACCTGTCTGATTTCGGCAAAGAACGATGATTAAGAAGACTGTGTCCGGGGTGCGACCGTCTAGGTGCCGATGGCCCTCAGTCGAAATCCATCAGCAAGACATTCCATCTTTTTTTTGGCACCTGCGCTAACGCTATGGCAGTGAACATTCTAAAAACCAACCAGCAAATGAAGGTATTGGAGCTTGGGAAGCTGAATGCTCAGCTATCTGATGTCATATATATATATATATATGTATACACATCCATACGTATATATTTGATTTACGTGCGCACACACACACACATACACTTCTATTTCTCTATATTTGCACAGATCCATGTGCAACACGCTGGACATAAGGTTGCTCAGGATGGAACGGGCGATTTTAAGTCTCATAGGCGAATCATCAAATCTATGCATTCCTGTGGGTTAACATGGGACCCAACAAGGGACTGATCTTCCTCGCAGCATGGATGGCTTTTTGCGGTTCCACACTTTTCTGCGGGAAGTTAGATTTTGGTTGCAAGGGTTGGCTTCTGTATTGAGGATGGCCCATTTCGATGTTGGGTTTGTGTGGTCATGGGTCTGCCATATTTGGGTCACTAGCTGCTTATTCACCATATTATTCACGGTTCATACCAGCGATTCATGTACATATATATATATATATATATACCCCCGTGCTTCCACTCAACTTGTGCTTAGTGAGCGCCTAAAAGGGGCAACTGGAAACACGGAGATGGCAGGTGGACAGCTGCCTGCGCGCCAGCGACCCCCATGTGTACGCCGTCGGTGAGGCAGGTTAGATTGAAACAGGGGCTTAGCGAGGAATTCCCCACTGGCGGACCCAGCTTTGATCGCTATGATCCTTTTTCAAGGGACAGGATGTGTGCAAAATGGAGCGAATTTGGGCCTGGAAACAAACTTCTTGGCGTTTTGGGGCGCTACGTCACTAGTCCATATAGGCCTTGAGTACCCAAAGCAGCCTGTTGGGAGGCCGTTGATAGAGATGAGAGATCATCCCAGCACATATTATGTGCCAGCTTAAGCAATCTTCGAAGTCGTTGTTCATCGGTGTCTACATGTTTTAGTCCAAAAAACAAGCAATTCAATTGTAAGTCTAGTCTTGCCAGTCAACTCACCAGCTCAGCTGAATATTAGGAACACGAGAGCAGCGCTTTAATTCCTTCTTCAGATTGGCTTTGAGGAGGGGCTCATGTAAACTTATGTATTCATATTGAATGTCCATTGGGGTTCAGCTATTTTGGGTCAGTTTGTTTCAAAATAGATCGGTTCCGGTGGGTGTAGTTTGGTTCCAATCAAGAACCAATACACTCCCTGGAATTAAACAGGAAGCTCCGAAGCTTTTTGTTGCAGGTTAGTCGCAAAAACCAGGCTTTTGATAAGTGCTAACATATGTATAGAAGTCCCTGGGGTTTTTTGGTCGGCTTCCGCATTTCAGAACACACAGCTGACTTCCGACGATGGTTTGGGCAACGGCTCCCTAAAACCCACAAAAACCCTACCCCCCCCCCCCCCCCCTAAACACAAACCGAACTCCCCCCCACACCCCTTTCAGAACTGGCCCAGAACCCCTGGGCATGTGGGGGTGAGATTCACTCGGAAACTGCATTTTTTAGCATTAGCAGGCGGACTCACCGTAATTCTAAGCGTACCGGGGAAATGCCGCTTCACGACTTTTCTCGGGGATATGGCGAAACTGCTCCTAACATAACGACCCCCGAGAAACACTAGGGCAAACGACAAGCCTGCACTTCCAGGGCCCATT